GGGGGGAAAAAAAAAAAAAAAAAAAAAAAAAAAACGTCAGAACCGAAGCGGCAGAAAGCGCAATTGCACTCTCACCCCGAGCAGCGAAGAAGAAAGAAGTGATTTACTGTTAATAGACTCATTTTCGTCCGGAGCGTCAGAAGCGCATCAATATTCCCCCCGACTCCTTTCGTAAAAGGGCCACGGGAAAGGCTGCGTCCTTACGTAATCCAGGCCAAAAGGTTTTGTCATAAGGAGACTGTGATGGAGGATTACCGCTAATCTGAAGCCGCATTTATCACCCCCCCCCCCTCTCGTGGCCTATGCACTCCACGAACTTTGATCCGACTCCGAGAGAACCAATTTAACTCCCTGCCCTTCGCAACTGCTACGAAGGATGCCATCCTCCATCCCGCTCGAACCTGTTCCGGTCGTGAAGCGATGGAAGTCTGTCGTGCCCGACCACGCTGTCAACTTCAGCCTGGAGTTTCTCCTGAACGTCCGGGTGGCAGAGGAGGAACAGGACGCTCCAGCGAATGGCAGTCGCTGTCGACTCGCTCCCGGCGATGAACAGATCCGAAATATTCACTCGCAGTTGGAATTCTACGGGGATTAAGCATTCATTAATCCACCAGTTAATCCGATTTGACTGCCTTAGCTCGGCTACCCGTGAAATTGGGATTGACTTCTCCTCGAGACTTTTGCAGCGCCATTTCGGTGAGGTAGGCGTCGATGTAGTCCTTGGAGCCGCCGGACGAAGGAAGATTTCTCTTATGCTCTTCCACCTCGTTCTGGTTGATAAACAGTCGAATAAGCACGCCATTAAATTCCAGGCGACGCATTGAAAGAACAGAGAGTTGAAGATGCAAAACTGGAAGAAAGTAAATCATGACGCTAATTGCACGAAGCGTTCTTCGTGAGACGCATCGCGGTCGGTCACGAATGCTTTCCTCAAGGTTGCCCAATGCGTTCGAAAGCAAAAGGAACAGCAGGAAGATCTTTAAACAAGTTCTTTCCGGTCGACAGAAGAACCAACAGCATTTTCGGAAGTTTCTCTGTTACTCTTACAACCTTGAAAGTTTAATCAATTCCATTCAGTATTACTTTTGGGCTCCTGCGCTAAACGTCTCAATAACATCGGCTTTTAACTCCCCGATGTTGTTTTTTATTTCATGGCAATCAGTTCATATAAGGCCGTTTAGGAATGAGCAACTCGTGCGGAATGGTAATAAATATAATATCTGCAATGTTTAGTAACGATTGAGCATTGAAGCAGCAAAAACGAGTTCAGCATAATGCTGTTACCAGGAATATTTGGGAAATGGCAGCCATGTTGCGATTGACGCGCCGGTACGCCTTGAGCGCCGGTGGCCAAAGGTAGACAAACGCCGGGACCCACTGAATGGGACCGAGGAGGCTGGAGTCGTTTAGGACTTCCAGGACGCGGTCCATGAAGTCCTGCATCCTCGGGTCGTCGTGAGCGAACTGCTTGTCTGAGGGGAAAAAGGAGGTCGGTGACGGAGAAACGGAAGACGGAGCGAGCGGTCCTTCTAACCCGCAGTCATCTTCCAGATGACGTTGAGCACGGCGAGGTTGAGATGCGGGCCGAAGTCTTGCGGCTCGTGCCGACGCGCTCTCAGGGATCGGCAGAGACCGAGGGCGGCGTCTTGGATCATGGAGTCCAAGGCTTCCCTTTTCCCGAGGCCAAAATCCCTCAAAACCCGCAAGGTGAAGCGACGGTTTTCTTGCCACAGACTCCCCTGCGAGGATACGATCCCTGTCGCCGGAAAGTACAGTAAATAATTGAAATACGAAATAAATAAATAAAAAATTTGTCGGTATCGTTCGTCTTGTTTCCCCTGACTGCCCGTGACGAACACATAAGTTAATATGCTTTTAAGATTTATTTTGACACTTTTTGTCTCTCTTGCCAACCCAATTAGTTCATTTTCCCATATCAACCGCTGATGAATAAATAACACCGTATGTGATTTACCGTTGTTGCCGAGAGCGACCTGTCGAAAGAGAAGCGCATCGGGTCGACCGGAAAAGTCCAGCCTCCCGAAGAAGTCCCGGACCGACTCCCAGTCGCTCAGCACCACGACCTCCTTGTGGAAGACGCCGACGGTGAAGACGTCCCCGTGCTTCTTCCTCAGGGAGTCCAGCTTCAGGTGCAAGGGTCCGCCGCCGAGGAAGGGGACCGAGCCCAGAAGCGGCACGCCCCACGGACCTGTTCGCACAATTCACTCATGGCCCCAAAACCAAATTTTTAATTTCATGATTTTAGTACCTGGAGGGAGTTTCGACCAAAGAAGGATTTTCTTCACGAAGAACTGGACGAGATAGACGATCCCAAAGGACACGAATAAGAGAAAAACACTCATTTTAATGGCGTCTCTGCCTGTTGACTGTCGATGCTCCCCTCCCTTGCTGCCTTGCCTCCTGGTGGCCTTGCCTCCTGGCGCCCTTGCCTCCTGCCAGTCCCGATAAACAACATGGAAATGTGTGTTTCTTCTCGACAGGAGCTCGGCCCGACAAAAGTTATCGCGTGTTACAGCACATGTGCTGTTTCGCATTCCCACCCCCGTCACACACGATCCCATTCTCCCACACCTGGATTACATCCATCCCGCATGGATTACATCCATCTCGCATCCGCTCCGCGATTCAATTGCGGATTTCACGCTTTGGAGCTTCTGCGGATTCCCGTCGAAATACGTGCAGCTCGCAATCCGACTCGCCCGTTTGTCGCTTGAAATTTTTGTAACGAGAGATTCGGAACTCTCGGCAACTCCTTACTGATCTGGTTTCATCGTGGGCGTCTATGGGAAGGAGATTATCTGCCAAACGGATTCCCGTAGAGGACCATCGTGGGATCAGATTAGTTTATGCTAAACAGATCGGGTGCATGTCACCCTGAGAAACAACTCATAATTTATTATTATATTTTTCTAAATGCGGGGGAGATACTCTTTATGATGTCGTACGAGTACTGACGGATGTAAAGTTCCCATATGCAAGCTCGACGTCTTACGAGATTCAGCAAGGGATGAATTAGGAGACTCAAAGCAGAATGTTAGATGACATGTAGCATGTAGCCGGCACATGTAGCATGTAGCCGGCACATGTAGCATGTAGCCGGCACATGTAGCATGTAGCCGGCACATGTAGCATGTAGCCGGCACATGTAGCATGTAGCAGGCACATGTAGCATGGACACGCGGAACAAAAGAACTTTCTCCCTTCTCCCCGCCCTCTGTACCTCCCGGACACAACAGCCGCCAGCGCTGCAATAATTTTCTCTCATCCGTGCCTCATGCATGCACACGATGATGGTGTCGTTTTCCACAGTCGGATGGCAGCCAACGAACCGAGGAGACACGCGGGAGTCCTTCTCCGCCCCTGCCACGCGATGGCGTGCAGGAGCGACGACGGAGCCTGGCGGGAGTTCCTGGCAGGTGCGAATCTTGTTTCTTTCTGTTTCTTGTCTGTTTCTGTTTCTTGTCTGCTTCAGCCTGTCCTGTTATTCTGGCCGCACGCAGGCCTTCGGTGGGCCGCTCTTTGGGCACCCCTGGGCTAGGTCAGGAAAACTCTATTATTTGCCGTAATTGACTTTCGTGACCTTTTCCTCCTGAGTTTTTTTAATGGTTCAGATATCTTCATGAGGCTGTCCCCCCCCCCTTTTTTTCTTGAAAAAGAAAAGAGATCCACAGTCCCCGAAATCGACTTAATTGAAAACGCTACTTTTTCTGTTCTTTTCATACATCGTACAACTATTAATACATTGCGGCTGATCGTGCGTGCCTCCCGCCTTAAAAACGACCCGATGCCATACCATGAAAAAAGCCGTATTGACATGTCGCACAGACATAAGCCAGGACTCCCTCCATCCAAAGCCGCCAACACCCTCTGCATTTGGAAGGGGGCGTCGAAGAGTTTCATCTCCCTTCCCCGACGAGCAAACTCGAGAGTAATCTGATAATCTTTGATAATCTCAATTGAGCTACTGAGGGCAACGGGGAGGAGGAAGGAATTTGGTCTTCACGGATCCATCTGGATTGAGAATTTCTCAAATTTTCTGCACGAATTTCGTCTCCTATGGGCAGAGACCGATCTTCGAAATAGCTTAAATTTAAATACTTCAATAAATCCGATAATAATATTTCTTCGCTGATGTCCCAGTTCGCCGACAGAGCGTGAAATTGAAACATGCAAAACAATATGCGGAAAAGTCGAAATAATGCTAATTAATGCTAAAAATGCTAATTAAAGTACTGCTCGGGAACAAGGACTTCAGGTCGGACAGAAAATTCGCAATAAATTTTTGCTCTAAATATCATAAAGGAATACGTGATACGTAAATATCATGCGTGTTTGGCACTTTATAAAACCGCTTGCAGAAATACTTTTTCCTTTTTTTTAATTCAGAGAAAATACTCTAAACCTTATCTTTTTTGTTTTTAGAACCAATATGACCTATTACTTGATACGGCAGAACATCTAATTCGATTTTCGTTGGGGATGGAAGAGAAGAGAAACCAGAGATGATTCCGTATTTACAAGTTCGTAATTGTCGATAGGATCAGATTTTGTTCAGCATCGCGTGACTCGAGGCTGGTGTCACGAAAACGAATTTTCTCTCCTCCCACATTGCACGTGGTATCCCCTCTAGAAAGGATGTTTTCGCGGGTCGCAGTAATTTCCTGCTCCAGGAGTACGGCGGTTCCCAATATAGACCTGTTCCGGTCGTGAAGCGATGGAAGTCTGTCGTGCCCGACCGCGCTGTCAACTTCAGCCTGGAGTTTCTCCTGAGAGTTCGGGTGGCAGAGGAGGAACAGGACGCCCCAGCGGATGGTGTTTGACGTCGTCTCGCTCCCGGAGAAGAACTAAGGCGAGACGTTCACCCTCACAAGCTTGTGGTTTTTCCTGATTTTATTTTAGAAATCGGCATATATCGAGGGCGGTACCTTGGCTTGTTGAATCCAAGACTTCCCTTTTCCCGAAGCCAAAATCCCCTAAATCTCGCAGTGTGAATCGGCGGTTCTCCTGCCAGAGATTCCCTTTCGAGGATACGATCCTTGCATCAAGAAAGTCGATCACATCGTAAGAATGACAGCAAAAAGTAAAAGAAATGTACAATTCACTGTATTTAAAATACTGTAAGTGGTACTCCCAGTGCAATAATTGGCACAATTATTTGAAATAAGTGAAACGATTTTTTGGTGGCGAAAGTAGTCAATTAGACCTTCGCCAGCCAACAGAAAAAGGATTATTTCCCATAGATAGAACAAAATCCAGGCTTATTGAAATAAGCGGAGAGAATTTATTTCTAATTGGAATATGTAGCAAGATATTGGAAAGCTGAGCTTAATTTTTCGTTTTTGCCATTCGAAATAGAAGAGCATCAGGTGGGCCGGAGAAGTCCAGCTGGGTTCTGTGACCGAGTACTTCGTGCCTCCGAAACCCGGAAAGACGGAGGATCGAGTCCGAGGAGGCGTGCTCCTCCTCATCTGGGGAACGCCGGCAATGGAGCTTTGAGGCGACTGAGATCGCTCGTTCCGGTCGTGGGCGACCCGCGAGCCCGAGGACGCGGAGGGATGTGCAGGTCCGGGGGACTGTGATATCGATTGTGGCGCCTGTGCCAAGCGGACACCCCTTGCCTCTCCGTGTACCGTAATTGAAAAACGTCCTTTGTCTTGTGCCGCGTGCCCCAAAAGGGATAAAAAAAATGAAAAACGGGGCATTTTCCTCCTCCATATGGTGCCTGTCGTCGAGCACCCAACTCCCTTTCTTGCAGCAGGTGGACTCCATCCATACGAATGAACTCAATTGCCTCAAATTGAAGCGCGGCGAATGGCTGAATCACGGAGAAAAAATCAGGATGGAGAATGATGCCGTTTTCACCCGTGAAAATGCCTCACGACGCACCAAAAGGACTTTCTAAACGAAAATTAATATCCCCTGCCCAGAAACCCATCACAAGCAAATCTGAAAGGAAAAAAAATTCCAATTGGAAAAATATTGGAACCATATCGAGACCATATTGGATTCGGGCTGAAGGTAAGTATGGCAGAGAGTGCCAAAAAAGAAACGATTTATGACAAGGCAAGAATCCTATAGGGATCCAGCAAATCCCCCACGGATCCCCTGGGAATGCCCATAGATCTCCTCATAGATATATATATCGATTCCCAGTCTGCCTTTTTTTTTTGGTCGTTCCATCGGCTAACTTGTGCCAACTTTTTCTGCTCGGCTTGACACCAGTAAGCGAATTCCAAAACGCGTTCGCCAACTCTAATGCCGAAAATAGCGTGGAATCAATGATGGCTCAAATTAGACGGCTTCTTCGATTCAATCCCTTTATTTATTTAATTCCTTATCATTTTTTTTTTTTTTGGGGGGGGGGGGGATACACCAAATGGTACCGTTAACACGGATGATAAAATTCTAACAAGAACTCCTGCAAAAAGAATGCTAATGAATACCTGAAAGCCTTCAGAGAGAGAAATTCCATAGAGTCCTCCCTCCTCCCCCACCCCGACATATTTTAAAATAACAATGAATCTAATCTGCTTTTTTTTCGACCCAATTGCACCATTGTCCAGTCTCAAAGCGTAAATGGACAGCGCCTGCATTTAACCGTCCATTTAACCGGTCGGTTGGAGAGGCACGAGCAGCAATGGCCCACGGGAAATGGCCCACGAGGTATGGCCCACCACGAGTTCATCCGCGATGAGAATTTTTAGATTGATGCAGTCGACGGATGAGATTCATTTTTCAAAAACCGTGTTTGTTTCCGAGAACCCGTGATTGCATGCTCTTCCAAGCGTGGATCACTTTCCACGCGATCCAGGACTTTCTCCCGAAGAAACGGCTCTGAGACGGCGCCATCTCGAAAGCACTTCGTAATTCACAAGCTTCACCATTTCCTGGCAGAGTGCGCTGTGGCCAGGGAAAAATCAAGTCGGTTGGTCTTTCCTGCACTTCTGGGAGGGATAAAAAAAAAAACTCTGGGCTCCTGTATGCAGTTGCGGGCCCAGAAAATCTCAAGGAGGGAGGGGGTTGACATATAAAACATTGGTAACCCATCTTGCATTTATGGCCAAATTTAACTATTGTTGATAATCGAGCCTGTAAAATGTATCCCAAGGGAGGGGGGGGGGGGTTATCTCCTCCCCCCCCCCCCCCCCCCCCCCCTTTATCTTCTCCCCCTCCCCTCCCCCTTCCCCCCCCTTCCCCCCCTCCCCCCTACCCCCCTATTTTTAATACCGTTCACAGTACTTCGACCGAACGAATGCGATGACTGGTGAAGGCATAGCCGAAATTCTCGGTAGAGAATGAGAGACGGAATACGAGAGCAATCAAAATTCATCACGAATGACGAAGGCTGTCTTCCTTCTCGAGAAGCTCTCCAGAAGCTCTCCAGAGGCTCTCGACGCAGAATATATGGAATGACACCGTCGAGAGGGTGGCTAAGCCACTTTGAGC